GCCGGGAAAGGCGGGCGCGTCACTTCCGACGGGCGGGGCCGGGGACCGGGTTCCCCCTGCGGGTCCGCGGTCGCTGGTGCCTCTCAAGCGGGCTCTGCTGGAAGTGACTGCCCCGCGGTGCTGCGGGAGGGCCGCGCCCGCATCCAGCGCGAAGCTGAGCACAACCAACCAACCAACCACGCAACCCGCCCCTCCAGGGAGCGCCTGTGCGAGGTGTTCTCGCCGTCCCGCAGCGCAGCCTACGTGGGAAACAGCGAGAAGTCCTCTGGAAGACTGAACTAGTCCTTGGAAAAGCCTTCCCGAGACCCCGGGCGGGCGGGCTCAGGCCCCAGGCAGGCAGTGCTCTCTCTCCTGGTGCTGGTGCCGCCCCCTCGGCAGTGGCTCCCGTGGAGGCAAAGCTGGAAGGTTACAAAATGCAAAGGGAGGAGAGGTGTAGAGAGCACCCGACAATTAATCGTTTCCATCAATACTGCTCTGAAACAGCCGTAGTGTGTGTTATAAACACAACTGGGCCCCAGGAAAGAGCACAGAGCCACAGGCAATTAAACAGTTACTGCTTAGACAGTCTTACGGTGCTTACAGACCAGAGAGCATCCCAAAGCATCACTTGGCAGTTTCCTCTGAACCTGGGATCCGCAGAAGGCTCTTAAAGCCTGTAAGGCTTTTTCTGATCCCTGAAGCTCAGTGCTTCTCAGGGATTCCAAGACTGTACTCTGGGGGACAGGGAAAGGAGGAACCAGTCGTACCTCTTCTCAACTTCGCTATGAGCCAGTCAAGTGCTGTGGATCATCTTGCTGCTGCTGCTGCTAAATGGATAGGACTGGGTAACTGATCCAACTGGAAAAGACCGTTTTTTGTCAGGTTAATTCTCATACAGATTGTTTTCTAACCCAGGACACTGTGCAGCTGAAGTCTGATCTGTTACTAACTCTCTGGAATTAGGCACCTAACTGGGATCTCCTCATAGACCTGCCTGCCCAGAACGTACTTTAAATGCCAGATGATGTGGTAAGAATTGCAAAAGACACAGAAAATTACCAGCCACTTAAAGGCTGAAGGAAATACATTTTATGCATTTTTTGAACTGCCAGTGGTAGCAGCTATGTTGGCACTACTGACCAACTGAAGACAAAACAAGTCTCCTAGGTACAGGAGAAAAAGGTAAAGCACTCATCTTGATACATGCACCAGGTATCCCATGTATGGCCCCTGGACACCAGGAAAGGTAGGGACCTTCACTGATGGGGTCAGCCCAAGGGAACAAATTCTTAAAAAACGGGCAGGTGGCTGCTGCACCACTTGTACTGGCTTTTTAAATCTATCTACACACGATCCAGCAATTCTGTAGTTTATACAGGTGGGGCAGAACAGACTGAAACTTGAAAATGCATCAAAATTACACTGGAAAAGCCTTAAACTGGCTTATTTCAGAGACTTGTAATTGCTGAGGCTCAAGACAGGGCACACAGTCTCCAGAAACTCTGCCAGAAAGTGAGTTTGAGCTCTGTGGTGACACACAAATTTCATAGCATGATGGAAACTACATAGTAAGTACAAGCATTGATGGTGACTGTAAGGAAAGGAGTGGGAAGCAATACAGGCAGCCTTCAAGCAAGGCCTGATTTCTCCCTGCAGATGCAGTCTACACTCTCAGCTATTATAAGGTCCCTTCCAACCCAAACCATTCTACAATTCTCAACACTATCAAACATGAGTCATGCAAATCTGATTCTGTTGCACCACCAAGGTGAAAAGGATAAAGGAGGCCTGGTTTGTCTTTCTTTGCCTTTCAGGTCATGGTCAGAGCAGGCACTCCAGAGTGAGAGTCCTAGGGACTGGGCACAGCCCAATCCCTGGTAGTGGGAAGCTTTCTCAGCCGTAAACACAGTGTGCATGCCAAGCAGTAAGCACAACCCACGTTAAGCTGCATCAGAATACATAATTTAAAAGAAGTCCAGATTTGATTCACTGGAACATGGGATACAACTGCTTGGCTAACAGTTTCCCAAAGGTACCTTCCTTTGTAACCACTAAGACACAAGTAACATGAACCTGGGGAGTACAATTTACAGACAGAAGAGGTGCAATATAAACCAACCAGAATGTATTTCTGACTTGTCATTGAACTGCATGAAAAGTACAACTAAAATAATCCCTGTGTGAAAGAACAGCAAAAATCCTGTTTATGCAAAACATCAGTTTGGGAGTTGAGAGGTGACTGATGATCCCTCACAGAATACATGTATAATAAATCCTCTCATAGAATACAAGGGTCAACAATTGTCACATCAAAGCAAAAATGCTGTCACTAAAACAGAGAGCTGATTAAGAACTGAGTGACAAGCTGAATTTGCTCTTGCTTGCCCCGATGTAGTTCCCAGTTACATCAATACCAGTAACGTCTACTGAGAAAGGCAGGCAGAACTGAACGTTCACGACTCTTGACTTTGCTAAATTTAAAACACATGTAAATACTATTCCTTCAGGGAGACCCACTGAAATTATTAAAATTACTCCTGGCAGTCTCAGATGAGTTACATAGTCAATGCTTCCAAAGCTTATTATCCTTTGTTATTTATCAGCCTCATCAGTAATCTATCATTTTGCAGGTGTTAACAGTATTTTACTCAACTCAACTACAGCCAAACATGACGTAAGCAGTAACACTAGAAGTTTTATTCTAGTTTCATTTCCACTGAACCTGAACTTGAGGCAGTCAATATTAGATACTTGCTGACTTCTTCAGGAGCTTGCTTTTACGTTTTTTAAACTGAATTAACATGAATACAAAATCCATCTTTTATTCAGCCGGCGCTGCCTTAATGATCTCAATGGGCCTTTTCTGCTGAAAAAGAGGATGATTGGAATTGATCACCAAGAGGAAAATGAGGCCAATGTACCTGTTCTAGCTTATCTTGATATGCCTATTATACCTTATCAAAGATCATTTGCTAAACTGATTCTGCAGCTTGATGTAATTTTAGTAAGCGCACACTATGGTTGCTTAATTAAACTGTTAGAAACAAAATCAGGGATTCACAAACTATGGCATTTTATTTCAGAGGCCTTTGCTTACATTTGTACAATATATTACATAATTCTCCATTTTCTGCAGAACCTAATATATATTTTATAGCTTTTTTCTATAAGCTTTTCCTTCAATGTTTGTCAACAAATTTTTACAGTCCTGTACAGTTCTGAATACTTTGAAAACATTTTCAATAAAATCAGTTAACCTTAAGCACACACTACGAAGACTGAAAATGCTTTTCTTAGAAAAGTCAAATGTAAAGGATTCTGACACTCTAGCATCTACAAACAAAATGCTTTGAATTCTTACATGTTGTATTGCCAGAAAACAAAGAAAAACATGCCAGCCCCTATTTCCCCAGGCAAAAGAAGTACACAGAACTACAATTAAAACAGTAAAACAATCTGTACAATAAAGTACTGTGTATTAACAGTGCCAGGTATTAAATAGCTTCAATGAACACTTCCGCAATATACAAATGTCTTACAAAGGTATATAATTAACAGGAGAGAGCTTGGGATCCATAGAACTTAAAATCAATACAAGTGAAAACAGTTTTGAAGTTGGGTTTGGAATTTGTACAAGGCATTTAAAAAATTAAATGTCTACCACTCAGCTAGCTATTTATTTTAAAAACAACTACCCTTTTGTGGCAGTGTTCATATCAGCAATCACAAATTGTAACCTCACACCTTACTCTGTCTTGAAGTCCTCTCCTTGAAGCTTGTAATAAAATAAGCATTACAAATGAAATATTTGTTGCTTTAAGGGAAAAGAAACATTTACAAGAAAACACAAAAATATAACTGTTATAATCCATTATGAATAAATATACACTTTAAACTGGCTAAATACAATCTTTATACATTAAGATTTAATACAGTTTGTTAGCCATTTTCTTTCTTTTTCATAAGGTATTTTATCAAAATTAAAAAAAAATACTGTTTTATAGAAAAATGGCAAAGTACAGTAGTTTTCATTCCAATTAACGGGTTCTTAAAACCCAGAGTAACCTATTTAAGCCTAATTCAAACCTGTAAACATTAGTCAGTTTTTGTTGTGTTTTTTTTTTAAGGAATTCTTGTATTTGGTTATCAGGACTGGTGTCAAACATCCCACTAACTGCAGGTTTTGAATTGAATACATGTGCTTGACGTATACAATTAAAGCCACTATAAGGTGACTTAGCAGTTAAAAAACAATTAGCTTGTACAAATGAAAATAGGTTCAATATTTGTCATAAATAAATGGAAAAATATCAAATGTTCCAGCTTTAACAAAATACCAGGGAATACAGTAAGCCTTACCACATTTGTTTAGATCAACCCAAAAACTATATGCTTATTGTACTGTCTCTACAGGCAGTGAACAGCCTCCATTTGCCACAGTGGAAGGCCTTCAAGTCACTGGACTTACAATTCCCAGACAAGTTGGAAACAATTATTGCTTGAGGAAAAGCAGTTTGTTGTACTTTTTCTTCATAAAAGTGCACTTAAGTGCAAAGTTAGCTTGTCAAGAAACAACTTTAAATACAAAATAGTGCTTGTCTGAATTTTGTGCCACTGTGCAGTATAAAAAAAACAAACAAAACAAAAACAAAAACAAAAAGAAAGAGTGGCCCTCAGCAGCCATTAAGTGCAAAGTGCTTTGGCAAGTCCTGCTGTCACCTGCACTCAACTGACATTCCATTCTGTGACGAACTTGACATAGATGGTTCTGCTAAAGTTAACATAACTGCAGCTGTAATGGAACTAGAGGAAGGTGATGAGGAGGAAGATGATGTAGTAGCAGCACCTGCACAGGAGGAGGAAAACACAGGTTATAAAAATGTACAAACTAAGCAATAAAAATGTTTTCCCATTAAACAATAAGCTTTGATATATACTGACTCCAGCAACTAATGCCTAGTGATCAGAAAGAAAAAAGACTCCATTCCCTAGTTTTTCTGAGAAATACTGAGAGACAGCTTTGGCCTCGTGTAAGAGAGCATGGCATTGCTTCTTGCAGCCCTGGTTCAGCTATAAAGTCTTACTAGATGTGGCATTTCAGTCTTTTTCTTACACTCAGTGAACTCTTAAATGTGCACATAAACAAGACATGGAGAAAATAATACTTTCAATGCTGCTAGAAGCAGGCACGCTACAACATTCCCTACAGCACTAGGTAAAGCAGCTTCAGTGAAATTGAAGACTTAATGTATGGTCTTCCTTAAATTAATAAAATAATCACCCTAAGGGGAAAGCACTGACACATAAGCTATACTATAGCAAGTTATTGTGTAACTTGAAGAAAAGTTTTAAGTTATTAATAACCTTAGATATTTTGTTCATTTGCATAAAAGTTTATTTTTCTGTATAAAGTAGTTCTGCCTAAACAGAATTAACTAGATTGCAAGCCTCTTCTATGTTTTTCCCCTTACCTACTCTCTGGATATCTCAACAATTCCTTCTACAGATCATAAAATAATGGTATATACCATGTTTTAAACCAAACAAACAAAACATCACTTCTAATGGCACACACATCTCCTTACTAATTATCCAATTCTTGTTAATGCCTTAATAACACAACATGCAATTTAGCCTTCTAGAAGTACAACTTAGTTCCAAGCACATACTTTCTCGCTCTTTTTTCTTTAAGCGCTTTCTTCTTCGGTCAATGGAAGCTACCTCAGATTTCAAGGACAGGTAATGTTTCCTGATTTCCTGCAGTTTTTCTTGGAGAACTGTTATGCGCTCGGCGCTAGTCAGATTTTCCAAGTCAGCTGTAAGTTAAACAAATTGTGTTAATTATTGTATTGCAGCATTTCCAAAAACTTCTGAATTTCAGTGACATAGGAAGTTCTCAAATCTTAGTGATGTACTTTGAGGAAGCAGACAGCATAGCCAAGAAACACAGCAGCACCATATACTCTTACATTATCACAACATTTCTTAATTTTTTATTATTTTCTAACAGTTACTACCATAGATACAACTCCCTTTTTTTAAAAAGTGGGAGAGGAAGAAAAATGCGTGTGTTCCCCACCCCAAGGGAGGAAGAAGAAAAAAAATAAGAAAGCTAGTGAAAACATAGGAGTCAAAACTAGCTTTGAGCCCTTTCTAGAGCCTAATACACCTAAAAGGTCAGTTCTGCCAGACTTGTCTTGGCTGATACAAAACTAACAGGTTACAACAGGAATATGAATAGCTGTGAGGTGGTTCTAACAGTCCATGACGTATGGGCCATAAGGTATATAACTACAAAGGACCTCTGTGCTGGCACTGCACACAGGGATGTGTAGAATCATAGAATGGTTTGGGTTGCAAGGGACCACAAAGATCATCTAAATGCAGATACACCCCTGAATTTGCAGGGACACCTCCCACTAGACCAGGTTCCTCAGAGCCCCATCCAACCTGGCCTTGAACACTTCCAGGGATGGGGCTTCTGCTACTTCTCTGGGAACCAGTTCCAGCATCTCAGCACCTTCATGGTAAAGAATTTCTTCCTAATGTCTAAGGGCAAGGAAGGAAGGGTGAGGAGAGGTGAAGAAGGTCAAATAAGGTCATACCCCTTCATTAGGGACAAGGCAGAAGGGCCAGGCTGGACACAGCCAGCACAGGAGCTGCCCCTCTGGCTGTTTCCACCTGGGAGCTCCCCACAGCTTGGCAAGCAGCTGTGGGAGGCACAGGCAGGGGGAACTATCTCAGTTCAGTCCCTTTCAGCCACAGATGAGTCACATGCCAGTGGCCACACGCCAATCAAAAGACATTTAAGAATCATTTAAAATACTGTGGGGGACAGAATGCACTTCATCAACTTATAATGAAGACAGTACAAAAGGACTAAAAGCCACAACTCTATTAGGCTTTGGTAAGATGAGGAAAACTCAGGACACTGCAAGTGTCGCAGACCTCTGCAACAGCAGGAAATGTGTTCAATAGCTCTTTGAAGTAAAATTTCTGCCAAGCTAACTTCATATGCAACATCATCAAGGTAGAAAAAAAGGGAGGACCAAATGCTCTTTAGATGTGTTGCACAGGAAATCTGCCCCAATGAATCACACCAGGCTAGGAAGCAACTATTAACAAAGACCTATTACATTATGCAGTCCTGAAGAGCAGCAGAATGTAACCTGACTGTGACAAAGTACTAGGAGAAAAATACTTTTACAGTAATAACAAGATTCAGGGCTGGAAAGGAAAAAAAATGCAGCGCCAAATTCTGTCATCGCAGAAACAGCTGGCTAAGTGGAGAATCCCCTGAGCATGAAAGACGCTGCTGGCAAAAAAAAACATAATTCAGGAGATGTCTCTGCACAGTGTGCTGTGCCAGCTCTTTCCTATTCCCAGTCTAGGTGAGGAACAGCAGCCTTCATAGTCTGGAACAGAGCACAGGAAAATGCAGAGCATAATAAAACTCCACGAACTTCAGAAACTGGACATAAAGCTAAGGTCATCTATGAATACTGAATAAGATACTACAGATTACTTGAAGATGTAATTTAAAATTAGTCACACCACACAGTTTCAATTTGACCTTTAAAAGCAAAGTAACTCATACAATGCTGTACATCCATGGTCAGTACTAAGGACAACTTAATGCTGACTAGAAAATTAAATACCCAAATGCTGTAAGAAAGAGGGTTTAAAAAAGTAAATTTAAAATAAAACACATGTTTTCAAATGTTTGTTTATTGTTATATTGAGGAATAAGGCTTCAATCATTTAGTATTTTATCTTGCTTCACTTTTCTTCTCACTACAAATAATGCTGCAATAGCATGAACACACACACAGAGGCAATTAAGAAGCTGCATTAATATTGAAGCATTAATAAGCCACTAAGCTGCTTCCCAGATAGGCAAATGCAAGATCCTTTCAACATTGCTACCACCCTCTAGGTGTATGTGTGCCAGTAGCCAACTGACACAAATACACTGAAAGTTCTTTCTAGTAGAAATAGTAAACATGTCCCAGTTCAGAAAAAAAGTTATAAATCAATTGTGTAAGTATCTTAACAATAACTAGAGAAGGAAGAATAAACAGCAACAAAATATCAACACAAGAAACACATGTAGTGGATAGCATTCATGCCAGAATGACAGATCTGCACAGCAAGTCAGTGCAGGAGCCCTGTTGGAAGAGTGTGATAAGTAGTTTCCTGTGCTGCAATTGGAAAACTATTTATTTATTTTTAAATCAGAATTTATCACAAAATTAGGCAATCTGGGGATAACCAAAATTCAAAAAGGCTTATACTATACCAGAAGACCACACCAGGCATGTGTTGAAGAAAATACTTACACATTTGAAAACTCCATTTATAAACTTTGGGCAAACGATTATTCTGTTCTTTGAGATCAGACTCCTTCTCTCCATTTTTCCCACATTTTCCTGGAGACTGAATTCTTGCAGGTGATTTGGTTTGATGAGATTTCATGCCAGTAGAAACCGATTTTGCTGACTGAGATTTGGACAGACTTTCACCAGCAGATAGTTCTTCACTATCACTGCTGTTTGCTGAAGAAACAAGAATATCTATTGTTACAAAACAAAGCAACCTTCCTGCCCAAAACAAAATTTATCAGAAGCTATCCCTGTGCTGATTTACATATAGCAGGAGTTTATTTAACCAAAATCCAAACTCTAAAATTATGTAAAGCATCCTAGTACAGAATCTTGGCACACAGCTCTTTGTATCACTAGTGCTTGAAAGACAGGCCCACAAAACAGGCATATAAGGAGGCCACTCTTAATTCTAGCATGCTCTGAAAAGGAAACATTGTACTGGAAACACAGCTCAGTTAGTTGCTGTGCAGGTATTATGTGCACCTGTGGGAACAGGCTGAGAAGAAGTTGGGACTGAGAAAGACTGGGCTGTTTAGCCTGGAGAAGAGAAGGGAACCTTAAAGCAGCCTTCCAGTACCTGCACAGGTCTACAGGAAAGCTGGGGAGGGACTTTTTACCAGGGCTTGTGGTAAGAGGACAAGAGGTAATGGATTAAAACTGGAAGAGGGGAGATGTAGGTTAGACATAAGGCAGAAATTTCTTGAGTGTGAGGGTGGTGAGACACTGGAACAGGCTGTCCAGTGAAGCTGTGGAAGCCCCATCCCTAGAAGTGTTCAAGGCCAGGTCAGGTTAGGCTCTGAGCAACCTGGTCTAGTGGGAGGTGTCCCTACCCACGGCAGGGGGCTGGGAATTAAAATGATCTTTATGGCCCCTTCCAACCCAAACCATTCTATGATTCAATTATTCTATGAACCAATCAGAGCTAAGCGGGTGGATAAAAATAACAGACTGTGGCTCCACAATCAATCCTGAATTGCTGAAAGTTTGTGTGCAGGAACATAAGGGAGTGGAGTAGGGACACACTTCTTGAGAGTCTTGAACACAGTCCTGCTGATTAAGGTCTACACAGGAAAGATGCACTCTGCTCTCTAAAGATTCAAGACAGCACTGCACTTGTTGCATTAGAACCATACATAAACTGCCTACATTAGAAAATACAGTGAAGAGGAAGTCCATGTGAAGGCAGATGCAAAAATGATCCCTGCATTTCCGCTCTGTATGGGGCTATACTTCTTCTAAAACAGTTATCAAGACTGATTGTTACATCCTCTCTCGTTTATAATTTTTTAATATTACTTTATAATACAGCATCCTATATATATACAAATCTCTATCCTGTTCTAGAAGTACTAATTACAGGCAAGCTTTTCACTGTACTCCTAAGATGTGTAGCAGACATGACAGTAAAAAATTAGCCTTTTTCTTAGCCTTATGTCACCTTTTTTTATATTAAGATTTCTGTGCTAAAATGACAGCTATCCTCCTGGCTTCACTCTCCAGCTGACTGTTCCCTGGTATTTTTTTTTAGCAGTGAGATGAGGCAGTAATTTATCTTGCTGTCTTCTGAACACATGTGCATATGTCCCTCTAATACACTTCTGCTTTATTACGCTTCTCTTCCATAGTGCTGTGGTTTCTATTCCAATTAGCTTCTACAACTATAAAAAAGCTGCAAAAGCTGCATTATTTACTGAAGATATAACAGCTGATATGAGAAGAAAATAGAGCCTATATTTTTGGGAATTATTTTCGTATTTGCTATTGGAAGATTTATTAACCTCTAAAAACTCATCATGCAGAAAATACAGTATAGTTTCCTACAGGTCCCCTCTAAAACATGCAGCCATCTTGCTATAGAGGTTTCTGTTGTAGTTCTGCCAAGTGTGAAATAATTGCTTTCTCAGTCTTCCCAAATTACGTAATTTTAAGGACCTCTTAGAAATAGGCCTAGTAGTAACACCAGACATTTTTAAATAATCTGGCATTCTGCAAGAGTAGTTTCTTCATTTAAAAAGTGACTTAACCTCCTACAATTGTTCAAACAAATCACAAGTATTTTCACACATTTCATTTCACGTTGAGCTGCTGTACTTACTAGTTTTACTCTTCTTTTTGTTGTTCACAGATGTTTTGTGGCTTCTTTTCTGCTTTTTTGAGGAGCTGCCTCCTCCCTGAGCATCTTTAAGTCTTTTTTGGCCTGTACAGACTATAAATAGGGGGGAGGGAGGGAAGAAAGAAACATAAATTAAACAAACCTTGCACTTCTATGTGCTTTTTTCAAAGTCTCAAAAAAAAAAACCCACTTCAGAGCTTAGTTTGTAGACAACAATGCAACTCTTCCTGCCTATCCTTAATATGGCTCAGCTTTCTACTTGGAGGAGACGAAGGAAGAGGGAAGGCAGTTTGTTGGTTAAAGTGCACATGTGAGATGACTGCAAGTAACTTTCCCATACGCATCAGCAGAATTTCTCTTGAACCAAATGGATTCTTATTTTTTTAATGCTGTAAATCATATAAGAATACATTGATTTGAAAAACTTATCAAGAACTGCTGGAACTGAAAAATCTTCAGAAAAGCCTGTTGCACTTGGAAACTGTAAGAAAAACTGAAACTAACACTTTTGATTAGTAATCACATTAATTGGAAAGTATTTTAAAAATATTAGATAATGTTTAAAAAGCAACAAAAAAAGGCAAGCAAACAAACAACAAAAAAAACAAGGAAAAATTCTATTCGCAAATATAAGGGGAAAAAGTAGAAAAGGAAAAGAAAAGAATTCTAGTAAAACTGTTAGAAAAGAAAACTTCAGGAGTTTTTCAAATGCTGTTCCACAACCACCTGACTTACAGATTAAAAATTACTCCTGTAACAGAACCATTTAAATTAAGAAACCAAATTTTCTAAATCAGACAATATGCTGACAAAATCAGAGAGGAAGGTAAAGTCTAACGCATGTAAAAGTAATATTATGCAATATCATAAAACATTTTTCATGTAGCAATTATTTCCTTTTCTTTAAAAATTAAACAAGCTAAGTTCTAAAACTACACATCTATAATTACCAAAGCAACATAGGCATATTTATTAAGGAATACACATTCAGCTTCTTCCAGACTCCTCCTTTAAGGAAACACATTTTGTTGCATTCTTTCAGAATAAGAATTCAAACAGAATTATTAAGGTAACATACCTTAAGGGTATTTTGAGAAAATTCAGTTCATCATTGACTGAAATGTGTTGAGATGAAGAAACCACTTCTGTCATCTCAGGATTATATCTAGATATGTATTTTTCTCTTTGTATCAGTAATTTTTAAGCATTTCAAACACAGTGAGAGTAGCTGTACTTTTGATGAAACTGTGAAAGAGCCAGTGACTTTCACAAAAAATCTTTTGGATCCAGCCTTGCAAACAGTTAAAAAGCAGGCAGCATTACATTGACATCACAAGCACAAGGTGTTGGCAGTGTTTATTATCTCCTATTCTCTAGTGGTCTCAGGATAGAACTTCAATCTGCAAAATAACATCTCGAAGTGAAACATAGCTAATGAGGTAAATCTTTGTTATCAGCTTGACTTGTATTTTTAAAAAACAATAATTAAATTAGATGTAAGTTTGAAATGGTAAGCAGTATGTGGCACTTTCTCCTCCCAGAAAAACAGCTACAGAAAATAAAAATTTTCTGTAAGAAACAGTATCTTCACCTTGCAAGCAAGGTACTCAAAATGTATCCATCTTGCTACAATAAAAATTCCTTATAGAATGTATTACAATTTGCTCTGGCCTCTTCTTGCCACATCTGGTATAAACTTTATTCTTACCTACTTTATTCCTTATCAAAACCATCACAATTCCTAATGAAAGGCCAAAAAGCTTCCTGGCAGATTGCATTTTTTTCACTAGATTATTATACCATTTCCACACATTTGAAGTAGACAGCAGGCTACTACTTCCTCCAAGAAACTAACTTGCCAGCAGTGTAACCATAACAGAATGAAAATATATAAGCAATGCTAAAATGAAAGCTGGTTAGGTTGAAGACAGCTCTGTTTACCCTTTCTTTTACCTTTTTCAGCGTGCTCTGGCTCTGGTTGATTACTACTACTCGAGCTGACACTGGCATCAAAACCTGTTGGAGAAATATTTCCCTCAGACTGGAGATCTTGCAGCTCCCCTGCAACACTGTCCACCTCTATTGTGCTATCTGTTTCGCTTTTAATGCTTCGTATCTCTTCTTGATTTGGTGGCAACATCTCAGAGACAGTGACACTGGACTGATGTCTGCTGGATTCCGTTACAGTTACAGACGAAGGCGATTCTGGAGTCGTAGGAGGGGTATTTAGCACTGAATTACTGCCACTGCTTGGAAATTCAACTTTCTTGTCACCCACTTCAGCTGGTTTCTCCTCAACAGGTTTAACATCCACACTAGCTGGACAAGGTTTTTCAAGTTCAGAGCTAGGCAAAGAAATGTCTTCTTCTGCAAGAGTCTGAAGCTGCTCCTCTGCTACAGCATCCTCGGGTGCAGCATGTGGAGGGGAGGCAGCAGCTTCAGTGTCAGAGTCTGAGAACAGTTCCTTCAGAGTTTTCTTCGGCCATTGTCCCTGGATACTGGACCAGACATCTTTTCGGTCCTTTGCTCTGGTGTTCTGAAGTCTTTCATCAGAGTTATTTAGAAGTTTTATTCTTTTCTCTCCCACTTCAGAAAATCCTGAGTAGAAAGTACTGGTCCGTAAGGACTTCCTTTTCTCCTCTAGTCCATTGTACTTTTTAGTTGGAGTGATTTTCAGTTTAGATTTGTCTTCCTCATCTTCATCTGAGGAGCTGTTACTGCTGTTTTCTAAACTAAGGGAGTCTTTGTTTTTTGGCTTCTCATCCTTTCTATTAGGTGACACAGTCTTTAAAGATTCCTCTGCAACACCATATCTTCGTTTGCCACGTTTTACCTGTGGTTTTGCTGTTTTATCCATTACTTCCTTTTTCACATCCTTTCTCTTCTTTGTGGCTTCGTCTTCTCCCTCAGAGTCAGTATCTTCAGTCAACTCTTCCATCTCTTTTCGCAACCTTTCAGGAGACTTGGATCCCAACTTAGGCATTCCTACATCTGTCAGAGCTTTACTTTCTTCTGTGAGGGATGAACTGCTCTGTTCTTCTTTTAGACAGAGTTCGCTCTTGTCTTTGCTTACAGCTTCACGTTGAGATTCCTCTTTGCCATCAGCATGTACATTTGGGGCACTTTGGTCATCTTCTTGCTCACTATCATCAGAAGTTTCAGAAGCTAATAAAAACAAATTAAAAACAAAACAAAAACAAGAAAAAGTCTTGATTCTGGTTATGAAGAATTCTTAAAAAAAAACACAACACCTAAAGAAAATTTTACACATATGAACATATGCTACAGGGATCTTTAGTAGTATAGATTTTAAATGGTACCTCCTGAAGACTTCAAAAATTTATTTTCTTTTCTATTAGAAGGTATAATAGCTAGATTAGGAACTAGGAAAATTCTGTATTATACAGTACAACTCCAGGAATTTCTGAAGAGGTGGAGAAAGCATAGAGTGCATCAATCTGTAAATCACAAGATTCTGCATAATTAATCAAAACAGAAATTGAAAGATGTGCTTAACATAAAAACACTATGTATTTTCTTATGGGTTGCAAATATGACCATTATCTGTTTTTTTCCAAAGATCAGAACAGATCCAGCATTTTCCCTAGAGAAACCAGTCTAGAAGGACAGAACAAAGACACTGAATACTATCTAACTGGATAGTCTCTGATTGGTTTAACCTGACAACCAGCCTGGAAAAAGTGAAAGCAATAGCTGGAGAAACATATGAACAATGAAAGTGTAGAACAACAGTAAGAAAATTCAGGGTCAGGAATAAAGAAACTGAGACAAGAACAACACATATGATGGAGAAGAAATCAACAACCAGCCTATTCAATGACAAGGTATTAATACAAGGAGAAACAATAAGAACTGGCTCAGAAACATGGGTTACTCCTTGATTTGTAACTAATCCATTGGTGTTTGCATAGCTATTTTAACTCTTCTCATCCTTTTTCCCAGTTCTCATCCTCAGTTCCTCACTAAAGCTCACCACCTCTTTAAAGATGATAAAGATGAAAATTTAATTAATGACAGACAAGAAAAACAACACTGTCAACAGAGTTCACTGAAATTATCAAAGCTGACTTGATTTTTTTTAAAAGGTTCATTGAAAAGCAAACTTAGAGAACACACTAACAGAAATGAGAGGGTGTACAGGACAAGACACCTTGAGGAATGTTGTCTCAGATGTTTTCCTTCATCTATTTGTTTTAAGATAGGCAGGATCTTAAATGTTAAATTAGAAAAAAGCAAAGTACACTGAAAGGTTTGTGTGAAACTTACCTTCAGATTGAGTCTTAAGAGTATAATTTACAGTAAATATGTTGGACTAAAGTTCCAAGAACTCTATCACTTAAAGGAGACTTCTAACACTTTTTTCCAGACCTTTTTATAATATGTGGTATGTTGCCATTTGAAATAAAAGCCAAGAACACATTTACAAAAAAAAGCAAAAATCAGCTCCATTGAGTTTTCACAGACTCATAGAATCGTTTAGGTTGGAAGGGACCTTAAAGATCACCTAGTTCCAACTCTCTGCCATGGACACCTCCCACTAGACCAGGTTGCTCAGAGCCCCATCCAACCTGGCCTTGAACACGTCCAGGGAGGGGACATCCACAACTTCACTGGGCAACCTGTTCCAGTGTCTCACTGTCCTCACAGACAAGAATTTATTCCTAATACCTAATCTAAATCTACCCTTTTCCAGCTTAAAACCATTCTCCCTCATCCTATTGCTGCAAGCCCTTGTAAAGCCCCTCCCCAGCTTTCCTGTAGGCCCCCTTCAGATACTGGAAGGCTGCTATGAGCTCCCCAGAGCCTTCTCTTCTGCAGGCTCAACAACCCCAACTCTCTCAGCCTGTCATCACAGGGGAGGTGCTCCAGCCCTCTGATCAAACCCCTTTATTCTCAACCTATTTACTTTGCTGTGCTCTTTAAAGGAAAGTTGAACACAGCTGCATAAATCAATAATATGTGGTATGTTGCCATTTGAAATAAAAGCCAAGAACACATTTACAAAAAAAAGCAAAAATCAGCTCCATTGAGTTTTCACAGACTCATAGAATCGTTTAGGTTGGAAGGGACCTTAAAGATCACCTAGTTCCAACTCTCTGCCATGGACACCTCCCACTAGACCAGGTTGCTCAGAGCCCCATCCAACCTGGCCTTGAACACGTCCAGGGAGGGGACATCCACAACTTCACTGGGCAACCTGTTCCAGTGTCTCACTGTCCTCACAGACAAGAATTTATTCCTAATACCTAATCTAAATCTACCCTTTTCCAGCTTAAAACCATTCTCCCTCATCCTATTGCTGCAAGCCCTTGTAAAGCCCCTCCCCAGCTTTCCTGTAGGCCCCCTTCAGATACTGGAAGGCTGCTATGAGCTCCCCAGAGCCTTCTCTTCTGCAGGCTCAACAACCCCAACTCTCTCAGCCTGTCATCACAGGGGAGGTGCTCCAGCCCTCTGATCAAACCCCTTTATTCTCAACCTATTTACTTTGCTGTGCTCTTTAAAGGAAAGTTGAACACAGCTGCATAAATCATTCCAGTTCAGGAAAAAAAAACCAAAAAAACAATCAAACCTGCAAAAAGTTTTGAGCAAGTAGCTCTAAAATTGGATGTAAAAGAAACAATAAAATGTTAGAGCTGTTCATACTTAAAAATAAAAGCCTGCAACTAACAAAGGGAAAAAACATAAATCGCAGCACGAATATATGTGGACTTAAATGATGAAAGAATTGCGCACAATTAAAAGCATTTCTGGAAATGTATTACATAATATGAAAAACATTTAGCTTTCCAAAATGGTAGTGGGTATATATCAAATCTTGCTTTTGTAATCAGTAATTACAGATTAATTATAGTACTAATAGTGTAGTTATCATCACTGCTAATTGCTTTTTGTTTCTTATTTCCTAAGGAAACAAAGCTGAATAGATTATGTTGACTACTACACTACCTAAAAATCTGGAACCCAGTGGCCAATGTCACCCAAGTTTAAATAAGCCTGAAAGATTATTAAATTCACTCAACTTTAACAAAGATTGGTGGTTACCCAAACTACCTATAATATGTATTATTTTTCTAGAGCCATGCACTAAACTAAACATAAAGAGAAGCAACTAGGTATTATAATGCTGCAGTAAATGTGTGGGAAAGGGAAAACAATGTCAGCACAACAGACAGGAAACCTAGCTTTATTAATTCTGTTTTTCAACAAACCAAACAAAGTTCTGGGTCCTAAAAGTTATACACATCAAAAATTAAAAATTTAGAAATATTATAGGCAGTAAAAAACCTTTGCTGTGCATCAAACAAAAAAAGGATGGTAAAACAAAGGATGCAATTCTGAAGACTGTTAACATCTACTGAATCTACGACTGTTTTTAGAAACCGCAAATGTTGCTTTTGATCAAAGGTTATTTCTAAAGATTGTAATTAGCCAGATAGACTCCATGTACAGTTGCATCACTTGTTCTACATTGTCATTTACTACTGTTTAAAGACCATTTACAGAAATAGAAGAAGTTTAAGTACAATACCTTGTAGCCCATTAATGATAGAAGTCATTTCTATTGATTTAACTGGAGTTTGTTCAGCATTTTTGGCTTCAGTGCTGTCAAGTTTGGACCCAGTCTCTGGTGATGTGCTGGTGTGAAAAGGTGGTTTTGACAAACGTCGCAATTTACAATTTTTAGGAGAATACTTTTCTTCCTTCTCTTTGTCAGTTTTATTCTGTGTGAAAGAAAATATTAAAAAATCTTCTAATCTGAGCATACATCTTAAAACAAATTACAGTTAAGCAATGATTCCAGTTACCTTAAACATTCAACCAGTAAAGGAAAGCTTTCCTCTTGTTTGAAAGATTACAAATACCTTTCTACGGCCCATGCCAAGCCATTGACACTGAAGACAGGAACTTATCAAAACAAAAACAAGTCGTAAAGCAAACAGAGCAGCGCACTGCAGGATGACAGGCTCAGCTGCAGCTACCACACCTGCTCTGTCAGAATGGGCAGGGAATTCTAGAGAGCAACTCAGGTTCCAGAGGCTTGGGCAGGAGGGAGGGGAAGGGCAGGGAAAGGAGAGCTTCCTTGCATCCCACTATCTAAGCCAAACAGCAGTTTTAGAAGAATTAACTTTGAAAGAAATGCTATGAAATACCATTATTAAAGTCAATCACACAGACTAGTCACAGATTTGCTCCCCAGAATCAGCAGAGGGAGATGGTAAATTTCATGCCCAAGAGTTGGCTCCCACCATTGATGATAAAAGGGATACTTCCTATTTGTCTTTTTAAGTACATATAAAAATTTCACAAAAGACATAGGGAAGAAAGAAAGAGAAGCTTCCTCTTCCTACCAGAAAATGAAAAATAAACAACCCAAAACCCTTAATGAAAAAAGTTCTAGTTTTTTAAAAGGCTAGGAAGTCACTTTTATTGTCAAGCATTTGTGGGCCAATCAAAAGCTTTGCTTTTTAGGGGGATCAGTACTTGATTATATGTTAAACTAAAGCTAGGGGGAACAAAGGTGAAAAAGGGAGAGGAACTACCTTTATTTTCTTTCGATGCTTAATTTTTGGTACATTTTTATCAGCTGGTCTCACTATCTTGTCTGCCTTTATCCATTCATCATACCTAAAAGCAAAAAATAAAATAAAATTGTACACTTCCATGTTTTAAGCAGATAATCACAACATTACAAGATAAATTAATGGAGGAAAAATAAAAATATTAGCCATATAAAAAACGAATTTGAATTAAGACTACATTTGTGTACCTTTCAGTATCTGGAGATTCAGCTAAGGTTTAATTCTTCACATGCTGAGACATTTAAGAAAGTTTTCTTACAGTGATGGTTAAGAGTGAAACCTAGTACTTTCCTAGTCTGCACTGAACAGCAGGAAATCCATACCAGAAGGATAATTCATATGGATCTCCAAGTGTTATACTTTATATATATACCATAAAATATTAACAATAAATTTTCACAGCTACATAAAATGTAACCAGTTAACAAAAAAATCTTTCAAGCCTGAGTGAGTGCAAAGTGATATTTGGAGTGACTAACACTTAGGAGCTGCTAACTTTTGAGTCACTA